AAAATATATATATTTTTGACATATTTGTTAAAACTGTCACTATGTCCTGACAGATCAATATTAGACAGATAACCTCTGGAAAAAAAAAGGAAAAAAAAAACTCCTCTGGCTCCTCCCGGTGGTCCTTCTGCCCTGTTAAAATCTCTCCGACCCGGAGACCGAACAGCCAATCAAAAGTGAGGTTTGTCTCATGCTGTTCTTAYCCACCCAGCTTCCTTAGCTGAGTCTGACCACTGCACAAAGCCTTCTCCAGCACATCCCAAAGATTCTCAATGGACTCTGTGGAGCCAATCCATGGGTGAAAATGATGTCTCATGCTCCCTGAACCACTCTGTCACAATTTCAGATGAATCCTTGTTTCGTCATCTTGGAATATGCTCGAGCCATCAGGGAAGAAACAATCCATTGATGGAATAACCTGGTCATTCAGTATATTCAGGTTAGCTGACCTCATTCTTTGAGCACATACTGTTGCTGAACTTTGACCTGACCAACTGCAGCAACCCTAGATCATAGCACTGTCCCCACAGGCTTGTACAGTAGGCACTAGGCATGATGGGTGCAACACTACACCTGCCTCTCTTCTAATGCACCCATCACTCTTAAACATGGTTAATCCGGACTCATCAGACCACATAACCTTCTTCCATTGCTCCAGAGTCCAATCTTTATGCTCCCTAGCAAATTGAAGCCTTTTTTCCAGTTAGCCAATGATTTGACCCTTCTCAGACTGACATCWTTTCCATGACCACAGGATGTGTCTTTCGATGTAGTTAAGAAATAAGAAGCAACTCATCGCACCAGTTGGGGTTAAACAACTTGCTGCCAGCTGAAAGAGAATCACTCATGTAGAAATTATCCAATAGGAGGCTTGTTCAGTTAAATCCAGGTGTCGACTTTTTGTTTGGGCAGGTATAAACTATTTATTTATTATTTGGGCAAGTGAGCAGCGCTATGTGACCCTTTGTCAACAAAAAGTTGTGTTAAACATCATGTGTTAATCATTTAAGTTGCCCATCCCTGATTCAGCTCAATTGGGAATAATGTGATGACATTTATTTTTTGAACTTTTCATCCATCCATCCATTTTCTTCCGCCTATCCGGGGTCGGGTCGCGGGGGCAGCAGCTTCAGAAGGGAGGCCCAGACCTCCCTAGATAAATTAGAAATAAACATTTGAACCGTTTCTTCTTATTAAACAGTAAGAAAATGAATAACAGTTTAGCAGTCACAGAGGCAAAAAAGGAAAAAAATAAACTGTCACAAAAATGTAAAAGATGCCTAATTTCAGTTATTAAATCTGAAGGCAATAATATCTGTAGGTTAAATATGAAAGTAGCAGTCCATTTATAAGAAACAATAATCTAAAAAAAACAAGTAAAATGACAGGAGGACTCTAACCCAAACTGATGATTAATATTTTTATAATTAATACATTGAAGAAATTTATAGTTATTACAGGTTAGTACTGATGTTAGAAGC